ATTATAAGGTAAAATTAAGGAGGATAAAATTTGGTTTATTCTACAATAATACACAGCAACAACAAAAGTTAATACTAAAATAAACTAAACTCACTTTCACTTGATCCCACTAGCAGTGTCTTCTGTTCATTTCTTGATAATTGTTCAGATGTATCTTCAAAGGTGGCAGAGGATGGTACATCATGTTTCTCACTTTCTGTCTCCTCTTTAAAGTAATTTTTAAATGATTAATAATTGAAATTCTTAAGTCTACAACTTATATTTTATCTTTAATATTAAAATTCATATTACTGTACTGTTGTTTCTGATAAAAATGTTTACATCACAGACAATTTTTATAATGCCATTTACCATGAGTATTAGTCTAGGAAAAAATGAGTTAGGGGGAGCGGAATGTTAGAAGCAATCAACATAGCCAGATATACTAATTAATACCTTCTGGTCACCCTAAGCCCTGTTGACACTTGATTTTATGCCTTGTATAGAAATGGCCGCCATTTTTCAAAATGGTCGCCAAATTTATCTAAAATGTGCATAAAAATGGAACTAAATTACCTGCAGACAGGGACGTATCCAGGGGGGGAGCCGTGGGAGCCGCGGCTCCCCCCCTTTGTACACAGTTTTAAAATTTTAAAGCTTATTCTTGAGCCAATACAAATTCTTTCCTGGGATCACTTAAGATAAATACTTCTAAACATGTAAATATGCATCAGTACACGTTATACATAATAGGCCTAATAGAACACATAAGCCTAAGCGTGATTTAAAAAAATCTTAAATCCATAAATCTCAGGCCAGTTATTTTAAGATAGAAATGCGATACTATGGTTCAATTTCGTTTTTATCCTTTTGCAAGTTTCTTTAAATGTTTGTTTAATAATACTACTACTACTACTAATAATAATAATATAATAACAATGATGACGATAGTAATAATTGATATTAATATTAATAACAATAAAAAGTGAAGAAAATTGTGCTAAATGCGAAAAAAAGTTGTGATTTGTTGATCATAATATAGTATATA